GAGTCAAAATATTAAAGAAAAATCTGTAAACAAGTAAATAGTTATATCTACTTTTTCTATCAGGAGTTCGCGAATTACATCTCTTGACTTGGTCGCATGTTCTTGCATTTTTGTAATCGTTTCCCTAAGTAATTGGGCTTCGTGTTCCAATTCAGCATTAGTCCGCTGCAGAGTTTCAACATTAACAGTAGTGGCTCCAGCAGCAGGCGTAGTTGCATCCGTAGATTCTGAGGGACCAGCTGTCGAGGCAAGAGAGGGGGGAGCCAGAGGAGGAACAAAAACCGAGCAATTGGAAGCACTCGTAATTGGTGTCTGTGAACTAACAATTAAAGGAGTGTTCTGCATGGACAAAAGGGGAGTTAAAAGCTCATCATCGGTTTGAAGAGCAATGCTAGACATTTTAGCAGAGACGGGGCCGGATGTCAGAGCCAGATTCAGAGTTCCGGGCTGCGGGTGTCCAACTGGAGAAGAAGAACCCGAGCGAGAAAGAGGGAAATTAACTCCGGGAGGATTGGGCTGGAGCCTGGGAGTAGCAGCTGGTGACTCAGGAATAGGCACGGGAGCCCCTGGAGGTCCGTTTGAAATAATAGGAGAGTTTGCTTGGGGGCAACTGCTACCCTTTTGCTGTTGCTGCTGATATGGAAATGGAAGGTATGAATGAGGCTGATTGTGAATTTGGGCATCAGGAGTTGCGACTGTAACTAATGAAGGGACAAAAGCCTCATTAGAACTATCACTATTTGCTGCTCCTAATGCTATATTAGCTGGGGGATAAATTTTGCCAGGTGAAAGCTTTTGGCTAACGCCGACATCAGATGATGGAAGATTCATTCCTGGAAAGGGCTAAAATGGAAAAAAAATATTTATGCAATTTAATAAAATATAAACTACGACTTGAAAAAATGCCAAAGAGATGTTCACCTTGAAAAGCTCATCAATCCTTTTAGTGCCACGGTCTTTGCACTGCATTTTTCTTGGCTGTTGTGTTTCATCAAAAATCGGACCCCTACGCTTCCTTTTAGCGGAAGATTTTAAAATGATGTTGTTTCTGGATGAGCACCCATGTGAAGACAAGTTGTTTTCGAGGATAGGCACGACTGTAGCTCTGCCCTGAGGATATGAAGAATCTGACTTCGCAACGGGGTTATCTGACTTATTGGCTACAGGAGAGGCAGTTATGGGCGCACCGGGAGACAGAACTCTTTCCAATTCATTTCCAGTATTTTGAGAGGGTTTATTATTTACGATTCCATGGCTTGAATCTGAGGTAACTCGAGTGACCAAATTTTGGTTAGAACAATGGGTACAGGGGTTGGGGAAATGATTTACATAGGAGGGCACAGGTTGAATATCGGCAGTGCTTACTCGGCTATTTGTATTATCTGGTTCACAGACGTTTACCATCATCAAAAAACTAGGCTGCTGACTTAAGCTACCGGCAGGAGTGAGAGTAGAATAGGTCGAGTCCACTCGTTGGCCAGGGGAGTTCACGACCGGATGATGGACGGCCAACAATGCTGCAGGGAGATTTTCACCGATGCAACTCTGCTTTTCACACAACTCATATTGGTTATTTGGCGGAAAAAATGCGTGAACTGGGTTGGAGGTAGATATACAAGTAGAGCCTTCGATGTGGGACTCAGGGATTAAATAAATTGGCCTGATCTGCTCGCTACTATTGGTGGTGCTTAAGTGTTCTACGTCACCACCGGAAACAGAGTGATCAGGAGACTCGATAGGATTCAGCTCTGAGCCTTGAAGGTAAGTGCCACCAGGGGCATCTGCAGAGAGGTTACCGAGTGTTCCGGTAGGGACAACACTGGTTAATTTTTTATCGTTTATCACAGATCCTTGGATCCTGGCTTCTAAGAGCTCATGCTTTCGTGGATCAACATGAATTGCCATGGGCGAGAAACCTGAGGAATTAACATTAGTATAGGGAATTGTGCCGATGAAATAGGTAAATAGATGAAGGTTCAGTAACGAAAAATAAGTAAAAACCAAAAGACATAAAAAGCTGAAAGATCATTTTAGTGCAACAGGAGCACAATTAAATAAAATATTTTTAAAAAAATAAGGAAATAAAGAATGGCCCAAAAAGAACTCACAGATGGTTTGACCTTCGATTAAGCGCAGCCATCTATGAGGGCCCCCAAATAATAAGCCGTTTGGTAAAACAAATTCATTAAATATTTCTTATACAGAGTGTTATCCTGGATAACATGATAAACTTTAAGAACTCTAAATCATAAGAGAATGGTTTCATAAGTAATAAATAATACATATGTAAATATTAGCCCTATATTTTGGAATTTGATTATATGGGAATTGCAACGGATTTTTGGAGGCTCAAGAACGCACAACTAAATACTGTTCGTATATCACTTTTTGAGTCGGACAAAGAGAAGTATGAAGATAGTATATACCTTACAAAGCAAGATATCATCTGTGACATTTCAGGTAGAGTTCGCGAACTTATGTAGGTATTATGCCTATCTAGACTAAAGCAA